TGACCTCAGTGTGAGCAATCCCAGAACTCTCACCTGACCCCCGGCCGGCTGACATCCTGGGTGGCGGTCTATCTAGTTTACCGGGGACCCACCCAGAAAAGCAGGCACACGCAGTAGAGGGTGTTTGCCAACCTCCTTCAAGTTGATGATAGACCTGTTGGCCAACTGGGGCGTACCAGAGAAGAAGGAACCGGCTCGGCCTTCTTTGTGTTCGGTGCCATCCCCCAGTCTCGGGGCTTCACCTCGGAAGTGAGACTCTCTAAGCCAGTGTTTTGATACAGCTGCTTCCACTTGATTTCACCCCCAGCTCTGCGGCCGGCTCCTTCTCCCCGTGTACTGCGCGTTCATGACTGTCTTCCTGTCTGAATTGTCTTTGCATCCCAGAGCGGGCCTCTGGCTGCCTCCTCATACTCCATAAGCCTTTCGCCAGTAGTACTGACATCTCTAGGCCTCCCCTTAGGAGTTTCTGCGTTTCGAGCATCCCTCTTGCAAACTCACCCCGTCTCTCTCTTTTTCACTCTTTCTCTCTCACTCTAGTTCCGCTCTCTTATCTCCCCCCTCCCCCGGCCAGATGTGAAGAAGCCCTCTGTCTCCGCTTCTTTACTACTCACCTTGGGTGTGCTGTCCATCCTGCGTATTGGACAAATCTCCCTAAAGATGTTCTACCCGCTCTTTAGGAAGCATGGCCAAAAATACAGTGATGATATTTTCCAAACCCAAATGTTGGGTCATGTGTTCAACCCCATGTTACTCAGGAGGTAACAGTAAGCAACATTTGAAATCAAGACTCACGCTGACAATCCAAAGTGTTTCGTGGCTGAAGCTCAAAGAGGACAAGGAGGAAGGTCTGTTTTGCAATCCTCCGAGGCCCTACCTTGTGATCTGGTCCCGCCTCCCTCTCTGAACTTGCCCCTACCTCTCTCTTCCTCCCACAGACTGCCCCAGCCACCTTGACCTCCTTCCGGTCCCATGAACCAGACAAGCTGGGTTCTGTCTCAGATGCATTGTACTGGCACATCCTTCTTCCTGGGATCTTTTCCCCGGGATCTTTGCAAGACTGCCCTCTTCTTACCATCCACGTCTCACTCCAAAGTCACCCCCTCCCAAAGGCTTTCCATAACAGCGCCATTCCCAGTCTCCTCATAGTCTCTTGCCCTGATTACTCTTGACTCTTAACACACTGCTTTAATTTCTCTCTAGTGTTTACTTCTGCAAGAAAATATCTTATTTTACAAGTTTGTAGTCTTTCTCTACGTCCACTCTACCACCCACTACAATGTAAGCTCCATAGGGCACACCTTTGCCAGTTTCTCTGCTCCCAGATGACAACACCTAGAGCACAGCCTAGGATTTGGTAGGTGCACAGCCAAACTCTGGGGGATGATTGGATGAACATACACTGTTCCTTGTCCTTGTGCCCTTGGTGCTGGGGGGCTGAGGATTCCATGACCCGCTCTTGCAAATCTACGTTCACACACACCCTGGAGCAAAATGCACATCCCACGAAGAAAGGGGCCCACAGAGAAGCATCCCAGTTCTGGCTGGGTGGGAAATGAAAATCAAAAGTTTAGGCCAAAAGGCGGAAACAGAACAGGAGACAGAGCTAAGCAAAAGAAATCTGGTTTAAGGAAAAGGGGGTCAGGGAGCTTTAGGTATAATTTCGGGAATACGGAGTTGGACTGGCAGTCACGAGAGCCCAGTGGCTGCCTTGCCCAAACCCACTCTGTGGCCTTGATTCTGTCGTTGCTACACTCTGAGGTTCAGATGCCTTATAAAAGGAGGAAAGTGGAAACCTTTTCAGTACTTTCCAGTGATTGTTCTTTAAAAAAAAAAAAAAAAAAGATGTAGGAAGGGATCATCTGTCTAACGGCAAATATTAAGGAGATACAGGGCCCTAGTCTCAAGTCCTGCGAAGAACTAAGAAATTGAGGAAAAGGTTTACCCTTGAGAATCCAAGTTGCCTATCAGAGGCCAGAGATGCAAAGGTATTTGAGGAATGAGATAGGACTTCTAGGCCTGTAAGACCACAACAGTTAACAGCTTCAATTTGTGAACATGTCTATGGTAAAATTTTTAAGAAAGGATCAATGAGGGAAGGGCAGAGTGGTGGCTAACCTTGGAAAGAGGGAGAGGCTGGAGGCAGGGGCGGGTGCTACCTGTCTACACTCAGGACAGCTAGGTGCTCCCTCCCAGTGGCAAGCCCGGCCTCATTGCAGGATACCCCCTGCAGCTAACACGCCTGGAGTTTTCAGCAGACTGTAGGTCCATGGTTCAGGGTCCAGACTCTTCATATCTGGCTTCAGATCTTGATTGCCACTGACCAGCGACAGACCCCGGCCAATTATTAAACCTGTATCTCTACTTGTTCACCCATGAAATGGGAATGATGATAGGGGTAAGGACCCCCAAGAATCCCTGGGAGGAATAAATTCGTATGTGCAAAGTGTGCAGAATAGGGGCTGTTTGGATAATTCCACTGACAAAGCCACCTCCAGGTACCAAGTGCTCCTCAGACCTAATGATATTCAGGATTTGTCTTTCCTCCTTTGGATGCCACTTTCAACAAGCTGCCTCCTTCTTCCCATGCTGGTCGGCTTACACAGGAAAAAATATGTTGATCACAGAGATTCTGAGAAAGTACCATTCCAGAGCCTGTGGTATCTTATGGCAAATCAACAAGTCACTTGAGTTGTGTCTGGGATTCCCACATTGCTTGAGCAGAGGTAAGACCATGATGGAAATGGAGGGTATCAGTTTTGGTTTCTCAATCATCACACTGGGGTTCTGGTGCCTAGCTCCTCCTTAATGTTTTGGTTTATCGCATAGACACTCAGGCTCTGATTTCCCTAAAGAGTGATAGGAGTGAATCCTCGGCCTCTAAAGCAGACGGCAATCCCAACTGGTTTTCCCACCCCACAGTGGTATACCCTATAGGCTCCCCGTCTGATCCTATGGTTGCTGGCCCTGCAGCCGTGGGTACTTTTACAGGAAAGAACACAGATCTTGCAGAAGACTGGTGGATTAAAACTGTAGGAAAAGAGGGAGCTGCAAACAGAAGCATTAATCCAACGGTCTCCACTCATCTGCCTTCAGTGACTTCTTAAAAGAAGTCCAAATGTTTTCATGTCATCTGGGGACCCTGCCTGGGTCTCCAGCTACCTTTTAGGGATTCATCTGAGTTTTAAAGAATTGTCAGTTACAAGTGTGGGTCAGGGGCGCCTGGGCGGCTCAGTGGGTTAAAGCCCCTCTGCCTTTGGCTCAGGTCATGATCCCAGGGTCCTGGGATCAAGCCCACATCAGGCTCTCTGCTCAGCAGGGAGCCTGCTTCCTCCTCTCTCTCTGCCTGTCCCTCTGCCTTCTTGTGATCTCTGTCTGTCAAATAAATAAAGAAAATCTTTAAAAAAAAAAGTTTGGGTCATTCTGGAAGGGTTAGAGAATGCTGGGTAATGTTGGTGGTGATACATGTCAGTGGGAATGTGTTTGAGAAGATTTCTTTCCTCTGGACACCTTGCTGGGTGGGGTTTACTTTAGGAATGAGCAGATTTGAGAGTTTTGTTTTGATTTTGGACAGAGGAGAGAAAGGTGTAAAGAAATGGGGGATTCAAGAGAGAAAACTCTCTTGTTTTTAGGGAATGGGCAAGCCCATGACACCTAACTATGGTGGGGGGAGAACCTAAGACGTTGAAGAACCAGGAGGACTCTGGGAGGTTCAGCTGTGCCACGGGTTATGTTGGCATTTCCGGATTGGCCTAGTCAGGTAACCAACAATTATCATCTTGTTCTTCTGGAAAAAATGCATCCTGAGCTCCAAATAAGTAACCAGTGAAGGAACTTTTCAGATACAATCCGTTGGCACTGAGTTCTTAAATGGTGAACTTCCTATATTGAAAGTTGGGGAAAATCTTGGGGGAAAAAAAGAGAAAGTCCCAGGAAACATTTGGTATGGCACTGGTGGGGGAAAAGATAGGACAGAACCACTGAGCATATTCGGTGTTAAAGCTGGAAAGGCATCAGTTCCTGGGGCCTGGGACAGACAGTGACCTGCTGAAAAGCCCTCCCAGCACGGACCTCTCCAGAGATCCGGCAGAAAGATGTCCTGCATTTAAAGAGAGGAAGTTTCCGGTGGACACTCGGGTTATGCTGACGCTTCACGCTGAGTTCTCAGGACAGCCTTCCCTCTAGACTCTCAGAGAACCCGGGGCCTCGGTCTGAGTCTACCTGGCAGTCCTCCCGCGAAGCAGAGACAGGTAAGAACTCAGCAGGAGAAGCCAAGCCTCGGGTGGAGGAAGTCAGCCTGAGGAGAGGAATGTAGATAGAGTTGGGGGGTTAGGACTGAGGGACAATCCAGCGGGGAGGTGGGGGGAGTGAAAGGGAAGGGGTCGGGGCATCGAGGGAGGGGACCCAGGCAGGAGGGGCGGTCCCAGCAAGGGAGCGGTGTGGGCGCCGGTGGAGAAGGAAGGCTCGAGAGGAGAGGGCCGTGCTGGGGAGGGCAGCGGGCGCGAGGAAGCCGTCCCTGCCGCGCCGTGGGCTCCCGGGAGCGCGGCGGCGGGGGTCTGAGCCGGCGAGCGGCGAGGAAGCGGGAGCGCCGGGGCTGCGGCGGCTGGAACAGGTGAGTAGCCGCCGGGCCGGGGGCCCCGCCCCTCCCCGCGGGCGTGCCTCCTCCTCCCCGCCCTCCCCGCGCCGAGCTGCGGCGCGGCTCCCCTCGGTTTGGGCTTTTGCAACTGGCGCCTGGCTTGCTTTTTTTTTTTTTTCTCCCCTCCCCTGAGTCTGTCTGTCCTTCTTTTAGGTCGCTCCACCCCTCAGGCGAGGGGGAACGGGCCGGGCTGTGGCTGCCAACTCGCGCCGAGCGCGCGTGCGAACTCCCGGAGCGGCGTCCCGCGCCCGGCCTCCTCCCTGCGGGGCGCGCGCTCCCCGCTCCCCGGGCCCGCGGCCTCCCCCGCAGCCCTTCCCCACTTTTCCCCCCTTTGGCAATCACATGGCATTTTAAGAATGCCGGAAAGATGGCGGTAGCGGCGGCGGCGGCGGCGGCGGCGGCGGCGGCGGGGCCGAGCGGCGGGGGAGGCGGCCGGGCGCAGCGGAGCGGGCTGCTGGAAGTTTTGGTGCGGGATCGCTGGCACAAAGTTCTGGTGAACTTGAGCGAGGACGCCCTGGTTCTGAGCTGCGAGGAGGGCGCCGCGGCGTACAACGGCATCGGCACCGCCACCAATGGCTCGTTCTGCAGGGGCGCCGGCGGCGCGCAGCCCCCGGACTCGCCCGCCGGGGTCCGCACCGCCTTCACCGACCTGCCAGAGCAGGTGCCCGAGTCCATCTCCAACCAGAAGCGCGGCGTGAAGGTGCTGAAGCAGGAGCTGGGCGGGCTGGGCATCAGCATCAAGGGGGGCAAGGAGAACAAGATGCCCATCCTCATCAGCAAGATCTTCAAGGGGCTGGCGGCGGACCAGACCCAAGCCCTGTACGTGGGCGACGCCATCCTGTCCGTGAACGGGGCCGATCTGCGGGACGCCACCCACGACGAGGCGGTGCAGGCGCTCAAGCGCGCGGGCAAGGAGGTGCTGCTGGAAGGTAAGGGGTTAACGCCGCGCGGGCGGCGCACACACCCCATCACCCTCCCACCGCACCCTCAGGCTCACCCAGGTGCCGGCACCACCCGGGGGCCCTGCGTGGGGGGGGGTGCGGTGGCGGGGAGTTGGGACAACTTTAACCCACCTGGGGGGCAACTTGTCCCTACCCTAGAGTCGCTGCGGGCTTGGATCCCGCAGTGGTGTGTACAGAGGCTCGGCGAGCAGGGTTTCTTGAGCTACGTGGCAGGCGCAGGGTCAGATGCTTAGGGCACCGTTCGTCATTTTTACCCGCGGATAATCCGAGGGTAGCGTACGGACGGGAAAGTGGCACTGGAGAGGAAGGGCAGCGGTCCGCGCTGCGGTGAGGGCTCCCTGAATAACCTCAACTCTCTTAGTTTTCCGCGTGGGCACCATGTTCTCAGAAGCCTGGGCAATCCATTTAAAAAGGTTCAGTCCTAAAGAAGTCAGAGAGAAGTGGCCCTGTTTGAACGCTAAAAGCCCATCATCCTTCTGGACTTTCCTCCTCACGGATTGGAACCCGGGGTTATGCTGGCGAGTTGTGCCCTGAGCTGGGAAGTATTTTGCAGCTTTACGCAGAAGTTCCCTTTCGGTGCCAGGTGTTTGGCCGGTCAGTCTGGATTCCAGGCCGCTCTGGGTGGAGGGTTGCTGAGGCAGTTTTTCTGCCTGCCTTTTCCCGGGATTTTTCCCTAGTGGGGTGGAAACAGTTTCGCATTTGTAAACAGTTTCCCCTGAGTGTGAGGCTCCTAAGAATGGACTTTCTTGAGATCCTGTGTGCATAGCCTCCTAATTTTTCAAGTGGAGAGAACAAGTAGCCCTGGTTTTGTACCTTTTGCGGTTATGTGCAGAAAGGCAGTAAGGTATTAAGTGGATAATCACCCTCGTTTCCCACCTCATCTGTATTTCTTACTTGGTATCTGCCTCCCTGGCCCATAACTTAATTTTACAAACCTCGGTCAGTACAAATATCATGTAATTATTTTTGTCTATTTATTCAGCTTCCCCTCACTGTAGGTGGAGATGTCTGGGGTCTTTTATTTAGTTACGGTTCATTTCCCCTGAGTTGATTTGCGTCCTGAGTGAACAAATCAATGAACCCATAGACATGGAAACAAGAGTGTTTCAACTCAGATCTTGTAAACTGATGGTTGATTTAAATCCTAAATTAAGGACTTAGGTCAATTTCCTGCTTACCAGATGTGGTGCTGGTGTGTGAAACTGAGAAAGTTCAAAGTTGGGAAACCAGCTTTGTTCCATGTGACAGCTGATGCAACACATGGTGTCTACCTCCTGCTGGGAATACAGAGGGCACCCCCCCAAACACACACACACCTTTATTTATCTAGAGGATTTGTGATGTCTTCATATTTAATTGCTACCCTGGATCCAGAAACTGGAAGGCTATTTGCTTTGGCTTGATGATTAACATGAGTAAACAGAAAAAAAGTTTTCGTGACTTAAGTGTGTTGGTTTGTGTGACGAGGGGCAGGTGGGATCTGGGGCAAGTGTAGTTTGGAGTATAAACTGCTGGGCCACCTGCTTAGCTCGCAGTGTTTACTATAAACTATCAGGGGACCAGGAGACAAAAAACAGGTCAGTTCTGTTTCAAGGCACTGCCCTTCATTATGTTTTTTTTCCCCTTGGTTTCAATTTAATGAATAATGACTTAGCAAAGAGATAAAAAATACCTCTCAAAAAGAGGAAGGTAAGGTGATTCCCTGCAGTTGAAAATAAAGAAAAAGAATCAGTTATGTGACTTTACAGATGCAGCAACTGAAGAGTGAGTGTTGTAAAACCCTCTAATGTGACATTCTTGCGACACGTCATGCTGTGTTGCAGACAGGACCTCTGGGGGAAGGCCTGTGAGCCTCCTAGACATGAACCACCTGGGCTTGGGGCAGCAGTCTTATCCCTTATCCCCAGCCTGTGTTTTCAGAGATCGACTGCAATCTAGAGAAGCAAATAGAGACCCCCCTTGAAACAGTGTCTCTTGTTCTGAGTTCCAGTGTTGGTTCTAAATGCAGTAGGAGAGATTATATACCATGAAAGCCAGTATCACACATCTCTTTTGTAGCTTAATACATGGATTCTCAACTGAAGGGGCATATCAGAACCACCGGAAGGGCTTTTTAAAATCACATACCTTCTTGCCTGTATTCTGAAGTGCAATCTCAATGGCTGAATTTCTACACAGGAGTGGCTTTGTAGATGTAATCAGCTGGGACGGGAGGCTTAGGGAGATGTTTTAAAGATATGTTTATATGGAAAATGCAGTTTTTTAACTTAGACTGGTCTTGTTTTGTTTTGTTTTGTTGTTGTTGTTGTGGAGCGGATTTGGTGGGGTTTTTTTTTTTTTGTTTTTTTTTTTTTGTTTGTTTGTTTGTTTGAGCCAGCCGGCCAATACACACCCCCATTCCATGACATGCGCCCTCTAGTGGAGAATCAACACCACTGCTAATGGAACACCCTGAAAAGAAAAGCTGAACAGCAAGTTTCAAAGCCTGCCTTCTAGTTACAGTCTGTCACAGAGTTATCTTAACCTCGTTGAGCCTCAGTGTCTCCTGAAAAATGGGAGTAAGAAAACTCGGCTGGACATTCCTGCTTTACAGGGCTGCTCTATGGAAGAGAATCTGAGAGTAAAAGAAAAAAAAAAAAAAAGAACATGCATCAAATGGCTGCTATGATTAGTTATAATTACATGAAACGAAGCTGAAATTGTCCCTCCCAAGGGATAGTCCATTCCTCATACTGTGCTAGGGTTTATAGTTCTTATTTTTAGTATACTTTTTATTATTATTATTATTATTATTATGTAACTGTAATGTTAGGAGACCATTTCTCTGTGGGAAGGGAATCATGGCAACAGCTAACATTTCTTGAGCATTTTTATGTGCCAGGCTTTACTTGCATTTGTTCCTTACACTTTTTGTAACTCTGTGAGGCCAGTACTGTTGTTCCTTTTACTGGTGAGGAAACAAGATCATGGACAGTGGGTTATTTGCTTAAAGTAACACAGGGAGGAGGCTTCCAGATCTATCAGACTTCAAAGCTCATCCTTGTAACTTCCGGGTGAAATTGATACTCCGAGCTTCTCCTACAACTATGTACTTAACTCAGTTGAAGCTTCTTCAGTTCTTGGGCTCAGGATGTTCTTCCCCACTTCTCAGATATGCTGAAATGCTCGAGACAGCCTTGAGCAGGAGAAGCAATTGTGTGGGCTACGCAAAAGGGAGGGACATGGAAGAGGACTGAGTCTAAAAACCTTAAGGCACTGAGTGCCTGGCTCTCCAAAGGCAGCTGCTGCCACAATGGGGCTATTTTGCAAAGAGGCAGGGTCTCTGTCATTTGAACACCTGGCCTGTAAGGAGATTACATTGTAATTCAAGCTGAAAATAAAGTGTAAATATACTGTGCTAGTGAAGTCAGTGTTTAACCAGATAGTCATCAAAGTTAAGACCAGACGTCTTCATGTTATGAACTCATTCCCCAGTTGCGGGAGTAGGGGCGGGGATCCTGCATTCAGCCGTGGTGATATGGAACCCCATACCATCAGGGGACAACGGGGTACACAGATACGGAGTGAATGGCCCCCTGTGGAGTGGAGCTGGGCACAGCTGCATAAATGTCCTGGTAGTTCTGAGTCAGGGGTGGTGGGATGAGGTTTTTTTGCCCTTAGATTGATAGCGAAATAGTAATTTGGAATCTGTCAACATTTTTGTAACTGAAACTACAATAAAGTTAGTTTCTCCATAACTTTGTCCAGATTGGAGAGTGCAGAATGTTCTGGAAGACTCATACTGGGGTAGGGAAGGTGGGAGTGGGTGGTAAAGAGAATCTTATCTGGGTCCAGACGGTACCCTAGGGAGCTGGACCAGAAGAAGTAGAAATTCAAAGGAGAAGGTCAGAGACTCTTGTTGACAGGAACCCTGTCCATCAAAGCTCCTCCCCCAGCACTGCTCCCAGGAATGCCTGGCTGCTGAGATCATCTAAAATGTCACTTGCACAGTGAGTTCCTTTAGCGGTAGAAGTAGGGATGGCAGGGCAGGGAGATGGGGCGCAAGGCAGAGGCAGTGGTTTGGTTGACATGAAATCTCAGGATTGGACAAGAACTTGTATTTTATAGGATCTTAGTTTACTTAAGATACAGGATCTTTTTTTCAAAGATTGTACTTATTTCTTGAGAGAGAGAGCATGAACTGGAGGAGGGAGAGGAAGAAGCAGGCTTCCAGGTGAGCAGGGATCCCCCAACCTGGGGCTCGATCCCAGGATTCAGAGCAGATTTCAGACGCTTAACGAACTGAGTCACCCCAGCGCCCCTGGGATGTACGGATTATTAAAGAATATCCAAAAACTGTGGAATTTAGAGTCTTGAAACTCGGGTGCTTACATTTTAACTAGCAGTTACTCTTTTCACAAAATGCTTTTTCTTGTTGGGCCTTGATTTTCTTCATTGGGAAGCTAGGGAGCTAAGTTAAGCCATTGCTAAAACTTATTTCACTTTACATCCTATAAATTCAGACCCAACACCCCTTTTTTTTTTCCCCCAAAGATTTTATTTATTTATTTGACAGTGAGAAAGAGAGGGAGAGAGAGAGAGCACAAGCAGAGGGAGTGGCAGGCGGGGGAGAAGGAGAAGCAGGCTCCCCACTCAGACGTGGGGCTTGATCCCAGGACTCTGGGATCATGACCTGAGCCGAAGGCAGAGGCTTTAACCCATGGAGCCACCCAGGCACCCCGACCCTCCACTCTCTTGATGAGCCAGTATTCTATAAGAACGCTAATTCTGGGGGCGCCTGCGTCAGTTAGTTAGCGTTCACTTCTTGGTTTTCAGCTCAGGTTGTGATCTCAGGGTCATGACCTTGAGCCCTGTGTCAGGCTTTGTGCTCAGCAAGGAGCCTGCTTGAGATTCTCTCTCCCTCTGCCCCTCCTGCTCGTGCATGCATGCGCACTCTCTTTCTCTCTCTCAAATAAATAAATAGATCT